AAACCCTATTCCAATCATTACGGCCCTGACCCCCAGGCCAGAACCCCGCTTCCAAGGCCACGGCATGGCGCGAAGCTGCGGCAAGACCTCGACCGGCTGGTGCGTGGGGCCGTCCTCAGTTTAGGGTTTAGGGTTTGTAGGGNNGGCTTATAGGGCTTAGGGTTTAGAGTTTAGGCCGTCCTCAACACAGGGAGATTTGCAAAACAAGGGGGCACAAGGGTTTATGGTCCGGGGCAACCCTAAACCCTAAACGCTAAACCCTAAACCCTAAACCCTGTACACCCTAAAACCCTAAACCCTAAAACCCTAAAACTCTAAACCCCTAAACCTTAAACCAACGAACCGGACCTCGCCGAGGTCGATCGAGTCGTGCGTGCCGATGTAAAGCACCGGGAACTTGGAGATCGAAGCCTCGCCGAGGAGCTGTGCGATTTTCGCTTCGCGGTTTTTTAAGGTTTGGGGCTTCGGGTTTGGGGCTTAGGGTTCAAGGTTTGGGGTTTAGGGTCTGGGGTTTAGGGTTCAGGGTTTACTTTTGAGAGTTTAGGGTTTAGGGGTTTGGGGTTTAAGGGCTTGGGGTTCAGGGTGGTTTCGGGCTTGGGCGACTGGGAATTTCGGAGGTAGGTCATGGCTTATGATGTTTCGAAGGGTTCCGTGCGGTTTCTTCTGAGCTATCCACGGTCGAAGAGGCGTTCTGAGGTGCGGGCTTGAATCTTTAGGGAATGGGTTTAAGAGGTGGCGGCTTCAATGAGGGCTATACAGATAGAGCGGCCTTGACGAAACACTGTAAACCCTCGTGAACCCCTGAAATCCTAAGCCCTAACCCTCAAACCCTAAACCCTAAACCCTAAACCCCTAACCCCTAAACCCTAAACCCCTAAACCCTAAACCCCTAACCCCTAAACCCTCAACCCGAACCCCTTCAACTCCACCTGAGATCTGAGGCGCCAGCCATTCGGAGAGCCGGCATGCCGTACCTGGAGGCGCAGCTTGGGACTTCTGGGAGGAGGCTTGTCCTGTACTTTGAAGCGTTTAGGGTTTAGGGTTT